TTATCTTTTGCAGGAAGAAATAAATTTTGCTTGCATTTCAATGTTCACAGGAAGTGATGTTGTAAATAGTTTTTTAAAAATATTTATTATGTGTGCTGTATACAGATTCATGTTTGGAGTGATGTCAGTTTGCATGTAGTATTGTAGAAGAATATATTTTGAGCAGTGGACTTCCTTTCATAACACAGTTCACACATGGAGAAAGAACAAAAAACCAGCAGGTTGGGAGCTGTTTGGGGCATTTGATCTGTAATGTTACATCAAATCCAAGCTTTAACCGCCCCCTTTTCTCATCTGGTTATGTTATGTATTATATATGTGTGTGTGTGTGTGTGTGTGTGATAAACTGGTCAGTGGTCAGTCCCAGATCTGCAGAGCAGATTTCCAGGTGTTCTTTCTGATGTGTTGCCTCTAAGCAATAAGATCCTAGGTAATAACATTTATCCCGGCTCCGTGTGGGCCTTGTCTCAGAGGATAGGGTGGGGGTAGAACAGCTCTTGCTAAGACCTCTTGCCTTGGCCTGAGAGGTTGCTGTACTTGAATATTTGCTTCTGTTTGTCTGCACACTCCTTCCAGTCACAGAACTCCAGGAATGGGTGAGAAATCTGCCAGCACCAGACATCAAAAATTGGGCATAGAGATGGAAAAAGTGTCCATTTTCCATGAATTTGTAAGGGTTTCCAGCATCTAGTTGAGGCAAAGCTCATTTGGCGATAGAGTAAAAGTAAGAACCATTTACATTAGAAATTTAAATGGCCGATTTGAAGTCCTTTAACTATATCTGACCTACGTTGAGAAGCTGGCCCAGTTTCTGGAACCCTCCTCCGTGCCTGGGTTTGAAATGTCTGGAGCCCCCTTCTTTCTGGGGTTCAACTTTTTTGGTGAGTGCAGAGGGCAGCCGCTCCTCCGGGTCTCCCGGCGTGCCCAGTTCCACAGGTGTCGAAGCTGTTCAGCAGCCTCTCCTAGTGACCGTCCTAAACTTTTACAAAAAATACCCCACACCCAAATAACCATGAATAGAATAATGTAGTTTTGTAGGCTTTTGGAATATGTCTTCTCTTTTGTATTTATGATGGTGTTTGGAATTTTTCACTAGTGTTTTTTAGATTTGAAGTGGGTGCATTAGGATAAAACTTTCCATTGCTGAGCCAAAAAGCAAGCAAGAGGAAAGAAACTGACCTACGTTGTATCATTGGGAAGGTGACTACTTCATGTGGTGGGAGGGCGGGGAGGGGGCGTTGTAGATGACGTGAGAGTAAAATAGAATTCTGGCCTGAGGTGCCCCAAGTCTTATTGCTTTGTAATAAATCATCCCCTTTCTAGCCTCACTTAATCTCAATAGAAGCCTGCTGTTTACCCTCAGGGAACACGTAGTTTTCAAAATGGAGCTCCTCCAAGGTCATTGGCCCGTGCCTGTGTGCAGGCGTTAGTGGTCTTGATAAACTCATGGCATTATTCTCCCATATGCATCACGATATTAAGAAATGCAACCCAACCTGTATGAAAAGCACAGCCCAGGGTCCTACTTCAGGCCAGAGTTCATGCCTTCGAGGGGCCGGGGGCCCACGCAATGTAACTGAAGCTCAGGTGCCGTGGTGGTTTATTCTCTTCAGGGCCCTTCAGATGAATCTCGGGCAAGGGCTGCCGATCCGGCTGTGGATCCAGGGAGTTCTAAGATGAATCTCTACCGTTCCTTTAAAGGTCTTTCTGGTTCCTCCCCGTGTTGTCATTGCCAAGGTCAATCTTGTAGTTGTTCAGATGTGCTCCTTTTTGCCGTCTTGTGAGTGTTAGCCAGTGATCCAGGTGCCCAGGGAGAGAGTCTCCGAGGGCCCCGCCCCTTCCCGGTCCCGAGTGTGTGCTCCTGAGATGAGAAATTCTGCAAAGGGTTATCAGAGGGCCAGCGTGTATCTCTTGGGCCTGGATGTCCACTATGTTAGAGAGTGTAGGGAAATACTGTGTTGTTTATGGATGAAAATTCAATGTATGCTGTGAATTTGTTGGTTTGAAACATTGAAAATTTTTCATTAGACAATGTTTACATACCTCACCTGAAGAACCTTTGAGAGTGTATATATGAAATTTTAAAATATATTAAGTTGCTTTAAAACAATATGTATAGCTATAAAAGTTGGAGTTATTTTAACTTTGAATATGTACCAAGTCTCCTAAATATTGAAATCATGTGGACTTTGTGTGCTTCTGTGTTTTGCTTTCCTATTAGGCCACGTAGGAAACTGTGTTCTTGTTATTGGTGAAGGGTCCTCACTGAAATCCAAGCTTGGAAGGATTTCCTTGGTTGTTTCAGATTTTCTTGTTTGGTTTGAGGGGTGGGGTGTGGAGCTAGAGGATGTGTGGGAGGGATTACTCTAACCTGGACATCTATCCCATGAGCTTTTTCTAGGCGCTTATTTTATTGCAGCGTATTAAACTTCTTTGATATTAAAGCGTGTTTGTGTAGTCACTGAAGAGGTACCGATGCATAAGCAAAGCTGATGAGTGGCCAAAAGGAAACAAAAAGCAATACTTCTGCTTCGACCCCCATGTCGTGTTGGGCTTAAAGGGACATTGGTGGCTGGATCTGTGGTCATTGTGACTTATGCCTGACTTCAGGCAAAAGAAAACACGGTGGGAGGGTCCTTGGGAATTCCTGTGGTGGCGTTGGGAAGGTGCCAGAGTTAAAAGGACATCCCCTGCTGGCTGGTGTGGCTCAGTGGTTGAGCGTTGACCCATGAACCAGGAGTTTCACTTCCCAGCCAGGATACATGCCTGGGTTGTGGGCTCCATCCCCAGTAGGTGCTGTGCAGGAGGCAGCCGATCAAGGTGCTGCATCCTGAGAGGCAGGGGGCACTGGGCTTCCGCAGGCTCCTGACCTCAGGTAAGCAGCTTGCAATAAGGGGGTGATACACACAGCCACCGGGGGGGCCGCCACAGTCTCTGTAGCCCGTGTTGGGGTGTGCGGAAAGGTGGCAGGAAACCTTTCCATTTGCTCGCCTCACGACCTGTTTCATTGTATTCTTTCAAGTCTCCTTGAGATGGACCTGGTTGAGGATCCGGTGGGCCAGGGGTTCCTGTGGAATCAGCCATGGTTTCAGTGACCAGTTCATCTGACCGTGGCCATGGACATGCCCAACCACACCCAGTGGAAATATGCTGGCAGCTGCGCCAACCCCTTCTCAGTTTACGTTTGGAGAATTATCTTGTTCCAGATGAGAACTTTTCATTGTTAAAATAGACCTCCTTTCCTCCAGGACCCCTCCTGTGGTAGAAAAGCTAGAATGTGACCCAAGAGGTGCACACTGGCTCGGGGTGTAGGGATAATAGAGATACATTATCACCACGTCGGAGAACTTGTCAGCTGCCTCCACCCCCACCAAGCCCTGCAGTATGCGTTCCCTGGGACGGAGATGTCCCTTTAAATTTTAAAAAAAAAGGGGGTGTTATTTATTTCAGAGAGAGGAAGGGAGAGGGATAGAGAAACATCAATGATGAGAGAGAATCGTTGATCGGCTGCCTCTTGCTGGGGATCGAGCCCACAACCAGGGCATGTGTCCTGACCAGGAATCGAACCGTGACCTCCTGGTTCATGGGTCGACACTCAACCACTGAGCCACACTGGCCAGGCAGGGGCTGTCCTCCTAACTCTGAAACTTGCCTCTTATTTTCCTTGAACTCCAAGGTTGCACACTGGTGCCCACAGATGTGTCTTATTTTTAGCCAATTGTTTTTTGGTGGTTGCTTTTTTTAAGCTTTTGAAACTATGAGTGTTCACATAAAAATTGATTTCTGGCTTCTGTTTAAAAAAAGATCAGGAAGACCTGAAAAATGAGTGCCTGGTAAGAACCAGCTGGAGCTCAGTCGGTTGGGGAACATGCCCTTGAGGTCACCGCCCCCCAGTGTCAGTTCCCACTCGTCCCTTTCCTTCTGCAGGGAAATGGTCTGTACCTGCTGCTTCCTCGGAAGTGGCCACGCAAGTGACAGCCCAGAGGGCGTGTGCCCCCTTGACTGACTGAGGTAACGGGCCGCCCACTCCAGACACTTGAGCTCATAAACCTGTTTTAACCCATTTTCTCTCATGGACCTGCCTGGTTCATCACATTTCCTCCCAAATCCCTGATTGTGTGAAAGGCACTGCAGTTACTGTCACTGCCCACTTTCAAGGTGACTGCTGTTCGGGTGCGGCTTGTGTGACCAGTGCCACCACCCGGTCTCCTGGCGGGAAGTTAGTCTATGTCCTGGCCTCAGAGGAGGGCCAGCTGGGTCCCCTCAGTGCCAGGGGCCTTGCCCCGCCTGGTTGCCAGGCCTGTCCTCCCTCGGATGCCATCTTACAAAACTCCGGTGTGCAATTTGGTATGTAGTTGGAAACCGTGGCAGAATCATTGTAGCATTATGTTTGCCTCCTTTCCCCACTGCTCCCTGCGAACTGCTGTCTTGGCAACAGGCAGGTTAACCTCACATGACAGCCTGAGAAGCCACACTGCTCTCCAGTCGGTTGCCAGGTTAAACATGGGTGTGGCTCTGTCCACAAACTTACAGCACCTGGGTGTGACCAGACCCCCGAAGGGGAATGAGATGAGCAGCCTCCCGGATCTCCGTGTGTGTGTGTGTGTGTGTGTGTGTGTGTGTGTGTGTGTGTGTGCAGTGCCAGGCTCGCCGTCACACTGAC